TCTTATAAGATTCTTATATTCCTTCTTATAAGAATCTTATCAATAAATTACGCATTTCCATCGACTGCCTTATATAAGATTCTTATAAGATTTCTATAGAATTGCCGTAAGATCGGTCGACTAGGGTCCTCTCTATTGAGCATAAGCGTGAAAATTTGTCGAATGCTGAGTTCATAACAACCGCGGCTGAACAAATTTATAATAACTAATTTAGCAATGTTCAAGCCCTGGAATCAATGACACTGCAACGAAATTTTTGGTGTGTGTGACAAAAATTCACACTTTGATAACATAAGTTCCCGAGGGGTATCTCCTCCCCCAGGAATTTTCTTCCTGAATGACGATAGTGTGATGTGACGAAAGTGCCATAATCTGAAAATACTGAGAGGCTCATTCATTATGACGCACCCGATATAATGGTTATCGCTCTTCAAATTTATGATTTTTATAAAGAAGTGGGGACATATAAAATACAATAACTGTGGGTTTATGTGTCTTAATAAAGTCAAGTTCTTTTTTTCTAGTTTTACCTGTATAAAGCATTCACTTGATAAATTACTTATTGTGCACGATTTTTTTAACGACAACGAAAATACATATTGTAATGGCTTCTATAATAACAGGGTGTTGCGAAACTCTACGAAATGTAGCTGGTTGCGGAGATCAAACTATACTGAAATTATGCTTCGACAAACTGATCAAAGAAAAGCTCAGTATTCATGATCAAGGTGAAATCTTGTCTGCATTATCTAACGTGAAACTCGATGTTTTCGGACGCGAACTATTTTCGACGTTTCAAGATACATATACCGATCTATTACAAAAATGGAACAAAGGTGAAACTCTTAGTAATCTAGAATCATCTATTTTTAAACAAATCGGGGCATTATTTACGAAGTTGGCCGATGAAGTGACCGCTATTGAAGTATTGCAACGAGTTTTGTTAAATAAACCATTGATCGAATCTATGGAAATATGTATGCAAAACGTTGAATATTTTTTACAAGATGTAAATTTAACAGCTGTGAGCTGTATGCTTCACGCATTGAGAAAAATACAAGATAGTCGAACAGAAATACAAGATGATCCTTCGCTACTGCGGTTATCAGATCCAATCTTGAATTGTATTTGTTCATCCTATTATTATTAGACAACAGAAGACATCAACAGTAATGATGAATGAAAATCGTAGTAGTAGAATTCAGTTGGAATTCAATTAGAAAGATAGAGGGATAGACATTATCTTTGACAAACATACTGAGAGTGAGACAGAGAGTGTGATATTTATTAAATAAATCTAATTTCAGTATTGAATGTAGTTGTGAAGTAGGATGAGATTACTAAGTCAGCATTTTAGAAAACGATAGGGTTATTTTATTAACTTTTGAAAACAACGATACAACAGAAGCTGAAGCTATTAACAGTGCAAAAGGCGAGTGAACCATTATTAAAATAGATATGACGATTTCTTGAATGATAGTTTTGTTCTTTTAAGTACAACTAAAGTGATACTGTTTGTATCACCACTAATGTAGCTCAAAATACGGTTACATGCGCGAAATTAATACAAACTTTTGTGCACACAAAATTTTGCGTGATTCTGTAAACGTGAACTGTTTGCGCTACACTTGCGTAATTTTGCAATAAAAAGGTGATTTATTTTTAGCAATATTCATACAAAGTAGCGCCACAAAAAAGTTGTTCTGATCACCATATCATGCTTAACTGACCGGTTTTTGTCCAAAATAGCATGATTGCAGTTGGAAAATTGAATGTACTTCCTGCGTTCCTGTAAGCTACTTTGTATGAATATTGCTAAAAATAAATCACCTTTTTATTGCAAAATTACGCAAGTGTAGCGCAAACAGTTCACGTTTACAGA